ATTTTTTTGCATAAAAGTTTTCATAATGACATGCACTTGATGTCACAGACTATTTCCCTCTCTGCTGAAACCTTTCTACATTCACAATCACAGCTGAAAGTTCTCTTCAGGTAACATCTTACTCTTTATTTCTTTCATGTCTAAAGAGACAAAATCTGGCCAGAGCCTCAGTTGGAATCCATTTAAGTGAAATGTAAGCCTGGAGAGCATAGTTAAAAGAACAACAAAAGAAATACTGAAGAAGCATAATGAGAAGGAAGGCTTGTAACATTTTTAAAAAATCACCTCTTTTCTCTAATGCTTTCTGGCTAACCAACAATATATCTTTATTACAGTTTTGGTAATGCGATGAATGAATGGCAAAAGAATGCATGTGTTTCTCTTTTGTCTGTGGCAGGACTCTAATATAATTTCTGAATATTAGACAGGTGAAGTTTAGAAAAGTGATTTATTACAGAGTGGATGAAGTAAGTCCTAATCCTATGACTTCCAGTATTCAGTGTGAGGAGGACTTTGAATCAGAACTTTGGTAAACATTGCAAAATTTATTGCCAGGAGCTACTGAAAAAGGCTATTTAAATTATACATACATACATACATATACATGCACACATACATACATACATAGTGTGTGGGTATGTATGTATGTGCATGTGCATACGCATACCCACACACAAATACATATACACATGCTCGTTGTGACTAAAAGTGGTGTAGTTCTGAAAGGGCTTTGTATATATAAGCCATGATAAAACCATTAAACTCAATCAACATCAGAACATCTATTCATCTTGGCTAATATCCATGAGAATTTATATATCTTTTGAAAATAAAAAATAGAAATTATTTTTTCACATGAATTTTATTCATTTAATGTGCTTAACACGTCTTTATGCTAAAAGTATCCATTTCAATGTTCCATTGCCATTGAATTAAGAAGGGCTGATGACTGGAAATTAGCTAAACATTTATATATAAAAGGTATACATTATTGACTTCTGGTACATTTTTAAAAAATACATATCACTTTACATTATAATACTATATGGCCTATATATTTGTTGAAAACTGCATTGTTTTATAAATAATAATAATTGCTCAAATGTAGCATTTATAAAGTAGTTTATTATCTTCAAAATCCAGTGTGAACAGCTGCAGACAATGCAGAGAAAATATGTTTTCGAGAACAAACTCAATCAAGTTTCATGTAGCATTATTAAAGAGAATGATCCATGAATACTGATATTAATATGCTGGTTAAAATATGCTGCCATCATTCATTTCTTTAGAAAAATGATATTGAATAATTTGTGCATCAAATAGGCTCTTTAATTCATTGCAAGGAAGATGCAATCTAATATACTGCATCAAATTTAGTGAGACTTGGTTTTGAGTTGAGATAGAGAGGAGCAAGTCTTTTCAAAAGGCTTTATTCTGAATAAGATGTGAAGAAACGGTGTATGCAACTGATACCTATGCAGGAAAGCTACTTACATTATAGTGATTAAAATAAACTAAGTAAAACAGAAGAAGAAAAAATTAGAAATGATAGCTTCATATGTAGACTTTTTTTCCCCCGAAGTTTTGTACTTGAAACTTTTCAAAATGAAATACTTTGCATACCCCTAATAGTGAAGAACTAGCTACTTTAGGGCAGACCTGACCATTTTATGGCCTCTGGGCCACATCCAGTGATTTGGCTGCTCCGCTCCAGACCACATGAGATCAATGGGAAATTAGAAATCAATTATAAATAAGGGGGGGTGGATCCTTGGTACTCTCTGAGCTTGGTGGTTTGCTGCAGACATTTCATTACACAAACTGATGATGTTACCTAGTTTGGATAATGAAATGTCTGCAAGAAAATCTCCAAGCTCAGAAAGCATCAAGGGCCTGTCACTTCAACTCTGAGCTACAAATAAGTCTTCTTTATTGGTTCAAATGTAAATACGTGTGTGTGGGCGGATGAATCAGGTTTGGCTCTGTGCAGTTGCTGTGTGCTTCTTCAGTTGGCTGACAGCCATGGGAAGGCAAGGAGATAAAGCACTATTCTGCACCTGCGCAGTGCTTGACCCTCACCTAGACAGCCTGAAGGGGCAGTGGTGATTATCATGTGAAGGAAGCCAAACTTGGCCACCCACCACCACCACAGATTGAAACAAGGCTTTGCAGGTGAGTTGTTGGAACACAGCTTGTGGTATCAGCCCTCCACAACAGTCCCATTTCCTCAAGTTCTCCAGTTCTTCTCAGGGACTAAAATTGTCAATTCTAAAAAAGAGGACCCAGGACCATTTCTAAGCAAGAAATTCCACCACAAATTGCTTCCCAGCATCCATATTTGCTTTCAAATTGGAATTTTTTGTTCACTCCCTGACAAGCATGCTTGTCACTAGCATCAGGAATTTGTTGATTTAAAAAAAAAAAAAAAAAAGGATCCAGGATCATTTCTAATCATGAAATTCCATCTCGATTCTCATCCCAATGTCTGTTTTTGCATTTGGGTTGATTTTTTTTTCACCTCCATGTCATGTGTGCTTGCCAGAGATATGAAGAACTTTCTTCCCGGAGCACAACAGTGATGAAATCCCAGGAAATTATGCATGAAGATTATGCCAAAACGGTGCAACAAGATCATTAACTGCTCTCTTCTGAACACCTGCTAAATTCAAATGTTAGTCACTTAACCAGCTCAGTGACTGGAAAGTAAGAACAATCATCCATAAACACAGGGAAAATCTGAACCCCAAGGGAAAAGACATAGAAATAAATCCTAACTTTCAAGTATAAAAAAGGAAAACCAAATGCCTTCTCTGAAATGTACTGTAGGAGACAAAATGTGATGTGGAACTGAAAATCTTTGTTCATGATCAGAAACTGGATATTCTCTGCATGTAACTGAATATGCCCAGAGGCAAAGTTGTTTTCAACCATTTAGCATCTAGTCTTGTGTTCCCTACAAAGAAGCTGGAAGAAGTTGGCCCCGAGTAAATATATCATCAACAAATTTCAGAAAAGAAAAAAAACCAGCTTTTCCCATAATGTTATCTGGCTAACATGTTGTGTTTATTACTGAATCATTCCTTCCAGCCTTTTTATTTTCAATATTGGTTGAGTGTAGCCTAAAAGCAAATCTAATAATGCCCATTTTCTCCTATTAAGATCTATACTAAAATTCTGATATCTCTGGAAACAATTCTGTCAGTTAGAAAGTTATGGAATATGTAATAAAAAGATTTAACTTAGTGAAGGTGGAAAGATACTGACTTTCAACCAATTGATAGATGATGATGAATTTTTACCATACTTTGTGCTAAGAGATATTTTTTTAAAAAATATTTATTTATTTATTTATTAAATTAATATTTCACCGCCATCTCACTGTCAAGGAACTCTAGATGGCTTACAACATCATAAAAACAGTAATATCAATATCAAAATGTTAAAACATTAAAAATAAGAGCATTAATAGTTAACAAAAACTGGGTAAAATAGGGAGCAATATATAAATGAGTCAGAAGCGAGATCTTCTCAGTCTATTAACTTAATATTATATCTGTCAGATATAACCAATGGCAAGATTTAGTTACAACATTTGTTAACAACATTGGTTGGACCAGCAGCATTTTCTGCTTCGGCAACACCTGAGATAGTAGAACAATAACAACAAGTATTATTAATTAAACACACTATCCACTGGCAAGCCAATATGTCTGCAGGCAGAGGAAGATTTCCACCATAAAACAATCGATTAGCTGTTTTACTGCTATAAGAAGATTTCATTATAGAAAGATTTAATTTATAAGATGCCTAAATCCTCAAATTGTAAATAAAGCTTGCTGTTGTTTTTAACATATTTATTTCAGAAAATATGTTTCTCACAAGACAAATTAGCAGTGTGTGTGTGTGTGTGTGTGTGTGTGTGTGTATAAAAACATATAATATAAAAACAGATGAGAATCTGTATACATTAAATTAGATGCTGGTAAAGTTCACTTACTAAAACCTTCTTCTTCATCTAACTGAATCTGTAGAGTTGGAGGTGGAAAAAAAATGATATTGGTTATACTATTCTGTAATGCAGCTTTTGTAAAGTCATCTTTCTGATGAGAGTGGAATAAAAACATTCACTACAGACAGGGCTTTTCAACCTTTTCACCCAATGTATCACTTTTAGGATATGGCAACATCCGAGTACCACCAGTCGCCTAGCAAGGTGTCAGAAACTTGATGACCCCCCCCCAAAAAAAGGAAAAAAATGATAAAGCACAGGTAGTCCTCGACTTACAAGAGTTCACTTAGTAACTGTTCAAAGTTACAATGGTACTGAAAAAAGTACCCCCCCAGCCACAGCCGAGCAAGACACCTGCCTGTCTGCCTGGCGACATCCAAGGTTTTCATTGTTGTGGATTGGCAGCGGGGGTGAGGTAGGGATATGTTTGGTTTTTATTTCCCCCGTGTGCTAGGTGGTTGCAGCAGGTTTTGGTCACTTCACATGACCCTGGGACCGTAACTGTGACCATTATAACAGCCCCAAAGAAGCACTGATCCTGACGCTTCCGCTGAGCCTTGACAGCCCTGGAGCTCCAGCTATCTCTCGCTCAGGATTGTGTGGTGCTGTCACCAGTTCAGCTCATTCCCCTCCCCCACTACCACTTTTCTAGGATGGTCGCATACCACCTGCCAGGTGCCAATGTACCACACGTGGTACTCGTACCATTGGTTGAAAAGCCCTGCACTACAGATGTACTACATTTTTTTTACAAATAAAATTGTGCTTAGAACTCACCATTATTTTAAGTGACATATGCTTGAATATTTGGCAGAGTATTCACACATGCTTAATAGAAATAACAGCAAGTACCTTATAGCTAACTACATTATCTATAATTACAGAAGAGAAATACATATGTTGATGTAGGGCATTTAATAAAAGTTCCAGAGGATTCATTAACAAGAAAAAGCCATTATAACCATGTTGGCCTATTGAAAAAAAAAATCTAAAATCCAAAGCTGGTTATTTCTTTACGTAACCAAAATGACACAAAATAAAGATGATTTAATGCATTTGAAAGCAGTCCAGTGAATTCAGTTATAATTAAAACAAAGGGAAAGCAGTAAATAAAGATACAGATCGATGATACAAAGGATCAATGCATCTTGGACCTATTTATTGTAAGTTGTGGCTTCTGTGCTGTATATCTCGGATTGCCTTGAATTTATTATACAGGAGTGACTAAGCTTTTAAAGTTGAGCCTTTCTCCAATAGGCTTCTGCCTATATAATAAGCTATCAAAATCATGCTAATAAAATTAATAAGACCAGACTGCTACCTCTCATTCTTCTAGAGTGTTTGGAGGAGAAAGAGGAGAATGGGTGAAATGTCTCTTACCAAGTTGATTGATGAATATCTGTAAAATAAACAATCCATACACAATTATTTAAGAATAGACACTTTTGAACTTAGATTTAGTAAGAATGGTTGTAGCTACTGCTATTGTCCTTTATACAGTAACAGTGAAGTGGAGAAGATGTGTCAAAAGAAATAACACGATGGTAAAATGGAAAATGATTAAAGACGAAAACATCACGGAGCTGGCAACTTCCTTCTTTTTTGAAAACAGAAATAGCAAAAGAAGGAACAAGCATGCTGAAAAAGCAGACGTTGCTGAATGAAAATGAAAATGAAAACAATTAACAAATTTGGAATCATTTCTATATCCTACTATTACTCTATACTGAGGGGCACCTGACCTGGACTTTGTAATTTGTTAGTTAACATAGTTACTTTGTATTTTAAACATAGTTACTTTGTATTTTAATTTGGCTTACTTTTCTCTCTTTTAAAATGATGATAAGGTTTTATAAAACCATTAGATTGGAATGTAGGAAAACTTCTTATCCTGTGGCTGTATGGATTGATTGGATAGCTTCTAACATTCCTAAACTGAAAAGATAAGCTACAGAAGGTTGACTGGATAAGAAAAGGTTTCTTAGTGTCAACTGGCATCAACCTTTGTAGTTGATTTACTATGCAAAGGAGGGTTACTTTTTTCCTGTCCAATCAACTTTACTTTTGCATTTTCTTTGTTGTGTTAACTATAAAAAGGAATTAAGATACCGTATATACCGGCGTACAAGGCGACCCGGCGTATAAGACGACCCCCGTCTTTGTCGCCGAGCCGCATTCCTAGAACGTCATCTTATATGCTGGAAACTACCAGTATTTCCGGCGTATAAGACGACTTGGCGTATAAGACGACCCCCATCTTTGGCGCCGATTTTAGCGCTTGCGGAAGTTGCCTTGTACGCTGGCATATACGGTAGGTCTCGGGGTTCTCCCTTTTCATAGGGAGATCCCACTTTATCAGGATATTTTAATAAACTGCTTTTAAATGATCTTCTGGCTTGTTAGAGTCTCCTGCTTGAGCAAGGGGCTGGACTAGAAGACCTCCAAGGTCCCTTCCAGCTCTATTCTGATTGATTGATTGATTGATTGATTGACTATGCAGTTTTGTTCCCATTTTTTAAAAACTATCTTGCTGACCAGTTAAAATATTACTGCTTGGGAAAAGGAGATAAATGGCATATATTCTTTCATGAAAGCAAAGGAAGCCAGAATTTTAATTGTGCAACTAGAGGGGAGTAGGCAAGTTAAGGAATGGAAGATGAATTGGATGGAATGTATACTACTCTCCAATATTCAGAAATACATAGAAAAGATCTAAGTGATGTTTACCTGTAGAGACACAATTCAGAATGGGAAACCAGTCATTTTTGCTGCATGTGGCTGTTGGTAAATGGTGTTCAGGATAATATCCCATATCACAATTAAATGAAATCTTATCATCTTCTATGAAAGTATCCCGATGATTATAAGTCACATGACCATGTGGCAAGTGTTTAGGAGGAATGCACTGTTCTAAAAAGAAAATATATAATAATATTTATTTAAAAATTTAAAGATAAAATAAAAACTAACAAAGTAAAAAACAGAAAAGGAAATAAAAGAAAAAACAAAAATTTCAAGAAAAAGAAAAAACAAGAAGAAAAATAGAAAAGAAAGAAAAAAGATATAAAGAAATGGCTTTTTTATTCTTTGCAGCAGATAAATACAGTACAAATTATTTGATTGAAATTTTTGTGGAAATTGAAAAAATGCTCATGGTTTTGAGATTTTAAGATAATTATTCAAGGATAGCTTTTTGACTACTCTTATTTCTGAAAATTTATAAAATAAGTGCAATATAAAAGATTCTTTTTTTTCTTATTAATATAAGATAGTAAAAAATAGAAAACTAAAATATGTAACTCCTTGCAAAATTGTACTTAAAAGTGTGCTAAATTGAATCATAAATTAACACAGCAAAGATGTTTGAAGAATCCCTCAATTTGTTTTAAGAAGTTGCAGAACTTTTTTGCCTTTGAATTCTCTTCAGCCCTACAAATGTATTACAGTATGCTAGTAGTTTTTTTAAAATAGATTTATGCTAATTACGATTTTAAAATAAAGTTTATTTTTGAGGCTTTCCAAACTCATAAAAGTGAAACTGAAAAAATGATGCACTTACTATAACATTGTGGTTCTGGATCCCAGCCAAAATTAGTGCATTTGATTCTATCCCAATGCTTTTTATTTCTTGACAGGAAACCATGATTACATTTGAAACCAATTATTTGTCCCACTTTTTTGGGAAAAGAGACATCACTATAATATATGTTGGACCAGGATAATGCTCCATTCTCTATATGAGGAAAGTCACACTGTTTTCCTTTGAAGAAAGTATAGACAAATAATCAGTTCCAAAACATCAACCTATTCCACCCATTTTCATCATTGTTAGAAAGTTCTCTTGAATGACATTTCAAAATATTAGCTTAATATACTCATCATCAAAATGGATCACCCCACTTTATACTCCATAATGAAAACCTATTCTACTCATTTCAGGTGATCTTCTAAATACATTTAGGATTTCTATTTTAAGAACTGAAAACCATTATGGGTTTGAATCAGTCTTCATTTTCATAAATGGAAACATTCTTCAAGGACAATTCTATTCAGGAATACTACTAGCAAGTAATATTTATCTGTTTCCCTTACTTTCATCTGGAAGTCCTTTTTTGAAAGCCAGGGAACTGAACAAAAAATCCTCCATGAATGGAAAGAGCACTCAGGATCTGAATTCTTCACTCACCAATCTACCCATATTAAGGCTACCAAAACTGATTAATGGCAGTATATCTATCAGCCTTTATATGGGTAGATAGTGAGTGAGGGATTCAGATCCTGAGCTGAGGATATTTTAAAAATATTTTTACTAGGACAACATATATATTTTTTAATTTAAACAGTTGAAAGGTGCAATATTTTATCAAATTCAACCTGCAAAGTAATTTCAAAACTTCAGGAAATTTGTCACCAAATTAAAAAGCTGATTTGAATAACTGCAATAACAAAAGATATAATTTTTTTCTGTATAAGTGATCAAAATTAATCACCCTCCATATGTTATAGTTTGGAAATTCCATAAGGCTGCAGATTTCTCAATCTTATTCAGTGGTGGGATTCAAATATGTGAACAACTGATTCTCTATGTGGATGCCACTTCCAGAAGTCCATTCTGTGCCTGAGCAACAAAAAATTAGCTGCCGGTTCTGCCGAACTGGTGAGAACTGGCTGAATCCCACCACTGATCTTATTGCACATATTCTATCTGTCTGTCTGTCTGTCTGTCTGTCTGTCTGTCTGTCTGTCTGTCTATCTATCTATCTATCTATCTATCTATCTATCTATCTCTATGTATGTGTTTCTGTGTATGTATATATGTCTAGTTCAGAAGTCACATTTCCTATTCAAGAAGCTATTGCTTTTTATTTAGATTTGCGTCTTATGTCCATGTCAGTTTGAAACACCACTTTATAGGGACCACTAAAACCACTTTCCCAATATACACACTAAGATCATTTGTATTATAGAAGGCACTGGGGTGTTGCAGTGGGGTACTATAGAGTTAAGTTGGGCAAAAAAGAAACAGGATTAGGAGCAGCTATGTGGGAAGCCATCAGGAACATTGGAAATTGTGATGATGTGACCATGGCTGATTGCAACATGATACTTGAGAGCCAGACCCTAAACATTCAGATTGTGATCATGTGATCACAGGAATGCCATAACAGCTGCAACTTCACAGATCAGTCTTGTTTAGTGCTGTTGTAATATTGAACAGTCACTGAACCAGTGCTTGCAATTCAAGAACTACTTGAATTTATAAAGAAATTTAGTCACAAATATTTGAAATTTTCAGAAAATGCCCAATTACTTTCTTCTAAATAAAACTAAACTTGTCTTTTATTTCTGGAACTTTTCAGCACTTAGGAAAAGGAAGCAATGTAATGGGTGTTTTGTCTCTTTATGTGCCACTTTTTAATAGAGTTAGGGCTTAGGGTTAGGTGCTTTTTTGTAATTTTTTTCAGTATCGCTATTTTTTTTTATTTTGCATGATTCCTCTATGACAAAAGGTTGACTTTTAAACTAAGTGAACTTTGCTCAAACTGAGCACTTTTCAAGTGAGCATGTGAGAAAATATGGATCTGAAAAACAGGAAGCAATATGAAGTCAGACTAGAATTTTCATTTGTTGCCGAATGGGGTAGCTTGTTATTTCTGATTCTATCCATGATTAACTAAAAATGACAGTATTCCAGAGATATTAATATATACAACCAAATACATTATCAGTTGTTTAAGATTTGGCGCTGAATTTTTTAAAAAAATCTGCAAAGTATCATAAAAACTACTTACTGACACATTTCGGATATGGTGACCAACCGCTTTTTGTGCATTTAGATGAATTCTTATGAGTTTCAAGAATATATCCTGGCTTACATTTTGTGTAGATTATGTCTTCAATATTGTAACGACTCCAGAGAGGAGAAAAGTTACCATTTTCTACTTGTGGAGCAGCGCAGATGACTTGTAATGAAGAATAGAAATATTGTTATTGTTATTATGTTCCTCTGTTTTCTATCCACATCGTACAGTTGCTGGTATCCTATATGGCAGTGGTTCTTAACCTTTTTGAACAAATCGCCCCCTTGAGCCAATGAGGAAGTTGTCATCGCCCCCCTCCTCCAACATAACCTCTCAATCACAACATAGGAAATAATTCTTCAATTTATGCAAACACTTCTTTTTGTTTTCTTTAAAATTGTCACATATTGATGCAAATAGTTTATTTCCAGTCTTTTCCCCATATCTCAACTGTGTGAAAAATTTTGGTGCCACCCGGCACTTTATTCCCAAATTTTGTGATACATGTATTTCATTATTATCTTATTTATTCAAGACACTTAAATGTAATGACCACTGAAAACAAAATTCAATTGCAAGAAAGTGAAATGCCTGAAAAGAAAAACAGTAACATTTAATGATTGAATTACAAGTGAAATTTAAGACGCAAAAAGAAATATAAAAAGGGCATAAGAACAAACCGCAATGCAAGAACTAAGAATTTCAAGACGAAAACTCTGAAACTAAATTAAGATTTGAGGAAAGTAAATATAGTCACGCACACTGTAAAAAGAATTAAAAAGACACAAATAAAATATAAAATCAAACTGGAGTGCATGCTAAAAAAGTACAATAGTTAGAACAATTAACCAGAAGGCAGGTTAACTTCCAGAAGCAGTGAATGCTCCAACACTGGAAGTTTTTAAGAAGAGACTGGACAGCCATTTGTCTGAAATGGTGTAGGGTTCCTGCCTGAGCAGGGGGTTGGACTCGATGCTCTCCAAGGTCCCTTCCAACTTTATTATTATTATTATTATTATTATTATTATTATTATTATTATTATTATTATTATTATTATTATTATTATTATTATATGGATCATCGCACAGTCAGCCAGATGTTCAGACTGGATTTGGCATTTTGTCTACCTATCGAGTCCTTACCCAGGACCTGGGATAGGCAGGTGTGGATGTTTGATGGTATTACAGGTATCGTCGCAGGATGGAAGCAGTTCCTAGCAAGGCCGCCTTTTGCAATTGACTAATAGCGAATTTGTCAATTATTATTATTATCGATCATCGCACAGTCAGCCAGATGTTCAGACTGGATTTGGCATTTTGTCTACCTATCGAGTCCTTACCCAGGACCTGGGATAGGCAGATATGGATGTTTGATGGTATTACAGATATCGTCGCAGGATGGAAGCAGTTCCTAATAAGGCTGCCTTTTGCAATTGACTAATAGCGAATTTGTCAATGCCAATTGTGTTCAAGTGGTGCTCCAGTTGTTTTGGGATTGCACCTAAGGAGCCTATGACTATTGGTACTACCCTTGCTTGCTTTTGCCACAGTCTTTCTATTTCTATTTGTAGGTCTTTGTATTTTGTTATCTTCTCCAGTTCTTTCTCTTCTATTCTGCTATCTCCAGGCACTGCCACGTCCACTATCCAGACTTTTTTGTCTTTCTTATCGACAATTGTTAAGTCTGGGGTGTTATGTTGCAGGTGCTTGTCTGTTTGAATTCTGAAGTCCCAGAGCAGTTTAATTTTATCATTTTCTATGACTTTCTCTATTTTATGATCCCACCAGTTTTTGCTTACAGGCAAATGATATTTTTTGCAGATCTTCCAATGCACCATTGTTGCTACTTTGTCATGCCGCTGCTTGTAATCAGTTTGTGCAATCTTCTTGCAACAGCTTACCAAGTGGTCCACTGTTTCTTCAGCTTCTTTGCATAGGCGGCACTTACTGTCTGTTGCTGTCTTCTCAATTTTGACTTTGTATGCATTTGTCCTTAAGGCTTGGTCTTGTGCAGCCAGAATTAGTCCCTCGGTCTCTTTCTTCAATTTTCCTGCTCTTAGCCATTGCCAGGTTTTATTATTATCTGCTTTCCCAGCTATTTTTTTCATGTATTGGCCATGTAGTGCTTTGTCTTCCCATGCCTCTATTCTGTTCTTCATTTGGTCTTTCTTGTAGGCCAGTTTGGTCTCTCCAGTAGTTAGTAAGCCTTCCTGATATACTAATTTCAGTGCATCTTCATCATTGTTCTTCAGATATTCTTCCAAAGCCATTTTTTCTTCTTCAACCATCTGATGTACTTGTAGCATTCCACGCCCACCTATTTGCCTTGGTAGATAAAGTCTATCAATGTCACTGCGTGGATGAAGGGCATGATTCATTGTCATTATTTTTCTGGTCTGCCTATCCATTGCTTTTAGTTCTGCTTGAGTCCAGTCCACTATTCCAGCTGTGTACCTAATGACTGGGATTGCCCAGGTGTTGATTGCCTTTATGGTATTTCCTCCATTGAGTTTGGATTTTAAGATCTTCTTCACTCTCTTGATGTATTCACCTCTAATCTTTTTCTTGACTTCAGTGTGCTTGATGTTGTCAGCTTGAAGGATACCCAAGTATTTGTAGTATCTTCCTCATCCAGACTCTTAATGTTATTTTCGTGGGGCATCTTGATTCCTTCAGTTTTCACTATTTTTCCTTGTTTGATAGTAAGTGTGGCACATTTGTCCAAGCCAAACTCCATTACAATATCTTGGCTATATATACGGACAGTGTTGAGCAGCGATTCTATTTCAGATGATGTTTTTCCATACAGCTTCAGATCATCCATGTAAAGGAGGTGGGATAGTCTGGCAGATGTTTTTGATGTTTGATAGCCATGTCCTGAGTTATTCAGTATTGTTGACAGAGGAAACAGTGCAATAACAAATAGTAATGGTGATAATGAATCTCCTTGAAATATTCCTCTCTTGATATTAACCTCTCCCAGCTCTCACCATTGATCTGCAACTGTGTCTTCCATTGTGCCATCGATCTTTGCACAAATTTTCTGATGTTTCTACTGACTCCTGTTATTTCTAGGCACTTTATTATCCAATCATGTGGCAGAGAGTCAAATGCCTTTTTGTAGTCAATCCATGCCACATTCAGGTTGGTCTTCCTTCTCTTGCAGTTTTCCAAGATCATTTTGTCTATTAGGAGTTGATCTTTTGTTCCTCTGCTATTGGGGCAGTTTCCTTTCTGCTCAGGTGGAAAGAGGTTGTTTTCAACTAGATGCTGTTGCACTGCATCAGCTACTACACCAGTTAGTAATTTGAAAGTTGTTGGTAAGCAGGTAATTGGCCTGTAGTTACCTGGTGTTGCCCCTTTTGCTGGATTTTTCATTATTAGGTAGGTTTTCCCAGTTGTTAGCCACTTTTCAATTTCTCCTCCTTGTAGTATATTGTTGAACTGTTTGGCAATGAGTGGGTGTATAACAGTTAGATGTTTCAACCAAAACCCATGCAGTTCATCTTCACCTGGTGCTGACCAATTTTTGATTTTCTTTGCTCTTTTTTCTACCATTTTTGTTGTTATTACTAGTTCTTTCATTTCAACTTCTGTTTTATTTGCATCCACCTCTTTTAACCAAGCCGCATCCTTGTTGTATTTCTTTGGGTTATCCCATATCTGCTTCCAGAACTGCACTGTTTCTTTCTTGTCAGGTACTGACTGATTCCTTGCAGTTTCTCCATTGATGGATTGGTAGAAATTGTATTATTATTATTATTATTATTATTATTATTATTATTATTATTATTATTATTACTACAAAGAGACACACAAAATGTTTTACAGAGCACAACAAAAATTCGAAAACAAAGCTGAAAGCTCAAACTGTGACATCAACATTACAGCTAACGTCACAGGAGACAGCCACTCAGCATGCGATGTTTCGAAAGAAGCGCTCCCCCCTCCATCACTGCCTATTCTGGCCAATGGCGCGCCACTGTGTGGGTAGAGCCTGCTGCGCAACACACATGAAGATAAGCGATGCGTATTTACATATGTACGGCGTTCTGTACTGAAGCTAGCTGGAGGAACATTTGAAAACACAATTCAATCCACTAATAGCAAGTGATCTGATGTTTTTGTATGACAGATATACAGCGATTCACTGTATGAAAAAGTCTCAAAAGTGTCCCCAAAACTTCTTGTTCCATCACCCCCATATCGCCCCCTTTTCATTCCTTTGCCCCCGCGTTGCCCCTTTTTGTTCCACTGTTCCAATGAAATCGCCCCCTGGGGGGCAATATCGCCCAGGTTAAGAACCACTGTTATATGGTACCTATGCTCAGACAAAATAGTAAGGGCAATCTGTGGTTGAGTCATCTCATTAAAAAACAAAAACAAAATGCAATTACATGTAATTGGAAAACAACAACTAGAAAGGTTGTTTTTTTTTTCCTTGCTGCTTTCTTGGACCCTTTCCCTGTCTTCTTTTTGGACTAAGGTCACAAAATATATATTTTTCCCTCTCAGAGGATATATATACCAAATTGCATGAGTAATTTTGCTCAGAAAAACATTGTTGAAAGAAAATATTGCAGTTCCTCGTCCGACTTCTTTGCTGCTTCAAATTGTTATTACAGTTATGCAGTTATGTTGCTTATAGAGACATGTGCAAAATGATAAAGGTTTCTCAATATTAGCTAAAAGCAAGGATTTCAACAGGCTAAGTCAATTAACCTGAATGAGATTGTGGTTGTCCTTTTCAGCATGTTCAAATATCTTATGTATGTGTTTGATCAGAACTGATGCCAGGAAACTATATCTCTACTGAATGCCATTTTTAGTTCTCCTAAAACAAATATTCTCAAAATGTTTTATTGGCATCACACCATTTTAATACCTGGTGAAGAGGAATTCAACAATAGTGGTAGCAGTCTCCTGGAAGGGATAGCAGCAGCAGCAGCAGCAGCAATAGAAATCTCTGCACCATTAGAAGGACACAATATATGGCACACAAATTATTATGCAGGTTTTTTCCATTGATTATTAATGAATATCAATTATTCCAATTGGTAGCATGTACCACCTCCCCCACATTCACCAAGTTCTAAATTGGAATTGTAGCTACAGTTTAAAATGTATAATTCCCATAATTATAATTATAATAAAAAGTAATTTAATTGAATGGTGAACGTTTCTTCCAACTCAATCTATGCAATAGAAAATTAACCCTGGCATGACATATTTCTGGAAAGGGTAGATCCTAATTTTAGAGAGAGTTT